AGTGCTTTAAAAGTCCAAACACCCACAGCTACAAACATCTGGCTGGCACTACCACTTCTAGGTATCCTGCAAAGGATTCTCATCGCATCATTATACTAATGTGTGGTCAAGGAGCAAAAATGACATTTTGTGCATCCTGTGAATGTGAGACAGAAACTGCTGTTTTCAGAAAATGTTCATTCATCAGTAAACTATAAACCAATACAAAAATAACATTTCTGTATCTGCATTTTTATCCTTGAATGATTCTCAGGTCAGGGTCAAGTGGCTTCAATATCAAAAATCTAAAATTTTTTGCTACAAGGTCCGGGCTGAAAATTAGTGGAAAACAGCCAATGTTCAAAGATCAAGAATGGTCAAAGAAACATTTAACATTACAGACTTGTGCACATTACTGCACATTAGGAAGAAGTCAATGTAAAATAACAGTTTGATGTGAGGGTTTTACATGGAGCATCTTTTGGGGCTTTTAAACTGATTAAAATCAGAACATAGCACATACAAATGTATCCATGATTTAATATTTTTGGTCTAACAGTGTTTTATATTTTTCCCCTTTACACCTGCTGTTGGGAACTTATTTTTCCAAGAGCCTCTTCTGATTGGCCACTTCTATTGAGTCGTTCCTCGACAGGGGCAGAGGGATGCTTGCTGGGAGAATGGCCAAAGTTTAAACGACTGAAACATGGGCGTGTCAGAGAGCAAGAAAATGCTGCACTAGAATGGTTATATTTCTTTATAAAGCGCCTGTCTCCTTTTACAGTTAAATCACCATCCTGCTCCAACTACATCACTTTTCCTGAGTTGCTGTTTTAAATCTATGAGGCTCTGCCTGGACTCTGAATGGAAGTAAGATCATGCTTTCAGTTTAAAGTGAGTCTTTGTGAACGTAGATAGCAACAGAACTGCAACAGAATTGCAATTTTTGATTATTTATTACAGTGAATCACTGAATTATAACAAATAAATTGTGTTTACCTGCTAACTTGACCTTTCAAACACTAATATATAACAGACTCAAAATTGCATTGAAGACAACCACTGACTGCAATGATCGTAGACCTGGTCCTCGTCTTTAAAGCAATCATTTAAAGTAAATGAGATTGCAAGTTGAATTTAAATTTACACACGGTAGCGATCATTTTTTTCACACCACATTCTCCAGTCACTGTGGGACCACCTGGTATTCAGGGCTTTTTTAATGGTAAAGTGTGGGACTTTGAGAAAAGACAAAGGCAAACCTGACTGCTGGATTGGTATTCATCAATGACCTCCAC